AATCATCGGTCCGGGTCTGAATAGAGGGTAGACATCTACACACACACAGAGACTGCGTGTCCAGACAATGGAAAACGCCAGTGTGAGCAGGCTCTGATTAAATAGATTGTGATTGAAGTTTCACTACAGACAGGAGGATAACCATAGCGTTTTCCCAGACCTGGATTTGAAGCTTTGTGTTGATTCTTCTGCCAGAGTTTATCCTTTAGTTTTCTAGTGGAGTAAACACTTACTACTTGTATCTTTTTGTTGATCTGACTTGTGCACTTGTACATCTCAGTTGTACACCGTACTGCTTATTTCCACACTTATTTCTTTTGTCCTTTAACAAAGAGAACTGTCAAGCTAGACACCCTGCAGTAGAGCTCATTTGGCACAATTCCGTGTTTCTTTTACAACTAACGCGTAGGACTTGTAGAGTTGCAATGAAAAAGACGTGAACACAATGTACACACTATTACTATTCCTTAAATAAACATCCGTCCAAATCTGGACTGGTTTGTGAGAGTGTCTTCATGCTTTGTTAAAGTAAAAGCAAAAAGCCTCTGCAGATTGCACACCTGTCATGGGAGCTCTGATCCCGGATGCGGCAGAATAGAAATAGGCAGCCGAATTGTGCACATCAAAGCACCAATCAGTAGCTCTACTGCCAAAGCTGGGATACCACTCTTCAATGTCCCGTTCCTCTCACTACTCTTTGTTCTCATGCCATATCCTCCTCAGTACCACCCTTCACAAGCTGAATGACTGTTTCAAACCCATTTCACAGCTACCAGCTTGACTAATATTCCTCTGCCATGTGTTTCTTCTCCATTACCATCCATGTGACATGTCTATGATCTCTAAGTTGGTGAGCATGTGGGTGTGAGTATATAAATATGTGTTATGATTTTCAGTGTCGGGCTGTCTGAAGGCACCTCTTGTCTCCATTATATAAAGCAGTTTTCTGTCTCGGCCTGAATCAGTTGCTCTTGATTGATGTGTAAAATTGGACTGTTTCTGCGTCTGTATATTCCTGAGGCAGGAGATCTGAGTAGGTTTCTTTTTCCTTGCCTTCCTTGCCACACAAAGTTGTTCATGTTATTGTGGGTCGGAGTCAAACGGAGTACTGCACGCGAAGGCACGCACTGCAGGTTGCAGTAGATTGATCTGCTCCTTTTTCACATTTTCTCTGTGCTGTCTGTATTTTTGTGTATGTGTCTATGCGTGTTGTGGGGAGTGTAAAGCTCGCCGCCTGTGATGAATTACCACGGCAGTGGAAACAAATTTGGACGCCGAGGAGTGTTGGTTTTGCTCAGAAATTCGTGTTGCCTTTCTGCTCTGTGTAATGATGAAGAACTGGGCACATATCAGCCAGAGGAAGAATGCAACTGTTGCAGATGGAAAACAAAAAAATGCATACACAGGTGCAAGCAGGCAGGGAAGTGGGCCGTGATATATCCACCGTATGTGTGTGTTTATAGTCTGAGCTTTGTGTGGGGTTTGGGCACAACTTTTACAACTGAAGCTCAACGCCATGTGGACCCTCTGCCTGTAAAACAGAAGCTTCAGTTTGTTTGCTGTAAAGGGACCATTTACTGTGGAGCTGATTTAAGTTTTTTGTAGGTTTACAGAAAACTCAATATGGTAATGTAAGTATGAAAATGTATGCAATTCCAGTTTGCACAGCACAGTGTGACTGTAGTGGTTGTACTTTACAGCTCATGATAGAGTTTCAGTTTGGAAGTAGAGCTTATAAGCATCTGACAGTTGACAGCAAAGGGTGATCATGGTCACAATACCAGTCGTCATTGAAATATTTGAAATGGACAAACCCTATCAGCATCTGTACATATTACTCGCTCAAATATGTCTTGAAAAAGGTACTTTTGGAATCTTTAAATTGCAGGAATGAGCACATTATTTTCACATTTTAAAATGTAAAGATTAACCAAGGAAAATGTATAATGAAAATACTTTAAAGTTACCTTGTTTATCATGTGGACTCGAGGTGAATATGAGGTGCCTTTCACATCTGAATCCTTAATAGCAATATGGCATATCATTTGTAGTAGTCTGTTATTTTAGTAATAAAGAGATTAAGGTTGTGTATATACCATCTGTGATACTAAATATAGGCTTGTCTTAGAGCAGCTGACTAAATCAGGGATGGTGTGCAGAAACAATTGCTATATGATTTTTTTGCTCTATGCGTTGTGAAGCCCTCTATCAAAAACCTTTGCACCTGACATCTTATTTGAAGTTATAATTGTTCTGGTTAACGTGCAAAGCTTATGGTTAAAATGCCAAACTTTTAATTCCAATTCAAATAATTAGAATTCACCATAGTGCCATCATATCGACAACGACCCTGAGCTCCATTATGTCCAACCCTATCTGATTATACTATGGAAAGTATTTGGTGCTGCCAATGAACAATGGAAAGTAAAAAGGAAACATAAGTAGGTAAACGCCTTTGGCCGAACCTAATATCGAAGTTTGTCTCATTATTTTTGAATGCTTTTCTGAGACGTTCACCCTATCCCCCACCCTATTGTCAATCGATAGAGTTTGTGTCAACACCTCTCACCTCTTCAACAGAAATTATTAGCTTGATTTTAGAGTTCTTACTTTTGTTTTAGTATTGCAAAGCAGCTGTGATTGCATTAGCTTCTAAACTTGCAAGTCATTGTATTTGAATGCTGCATAATCATATTTGGGAAGCTGCACATTTGCTTAGAGGAGGCAAGATTTCCCAGGTCACGGTCTGTCTTATTGAAGCCTGCCCCAGCTCAACCTTCTGGCAATATGTGTTAATATGTACTCATTATGCCCCTGCTTCCACCTTGCATGGGGATTTTCTTGTCAAATGTGCCTCCTTTTTTACTGACATCTGCAAATGTAATTGTGTGCTTTAATTAAAGCCACAGCCAGATGTAATCCACAAATAAATAAAGCCCAATAAGTTGGTAAAGAATGGGCAGAACCTTAGTCCAGTAAAGGGTCTCCTATCACAGTATTAGTGTTAGGTATACAGCTATATTTTTGTTCCAGAGGTAACCATCAGACAAACCGGAGAGAGAGAGAAAAAAACACACACAACCTTAATCAGAACATCAGAACATCAGAACATCATGTTCTTCACCCAGCAGTCACACGGTGGCTGATACAGCTCTATGGAGCTAACAATGTTTTCTAGCACATCATACACAGATTTATTAGACAATCTTAATGTGCGAACACAGTGTTTTCATGCATGTGAGCGAATCTATGTTCATACGTCAGTCAAACTTAATCTGAAGGCAAAACGTGTGATGTTGAACACTGTCATTAGTTGTGCAGCTCCTGCCCAGCATCGTTGTGAGTTCGGATTCTGATTGCATGTCACAGTGACTGGACAGCATGCTTTTGTGCTGTAAAGCCGTATTAGACATACAGCTCATTGGTGACAGCAAACTAGAAATCTAGATTCCATTGCTCTTGTAAAGTCAGGGCCAGAATATTAACAACATGTGCACAATGTGCCAGAATGTTTCAACATTTAGCTGAATGTTGTTGACATGTTATGTAAAGTTCAAGTTACATATATGTTCTTTGTATGTGTGTTGCTCCTTTTTAATGATAGTTCTTCCTTATGAGACACACAACAAACTGTTTGACATATTGCCTTTTAAATATGGGTAATTTCAGTGTACATTTTCCAAATGAATGACATAACATTTGATTGTATTTGTTATATAATTGCTGGTCAGTAGTTAAACATACATTAGAACCAAAATAACTGAAAACGGTAAGAAGTAATGACCATACAAAAGTTTAAAGACACAATCTTGTGCACTTGAGGCTAGCATGTTGGATGCCTGCATGCCCAAACAGTACTCAAACACTCATTGATGAAAGTATGTCCCCTAAGATAAGTGTTTTTTTAACATTAAAAGATCCCAATCTAAGGTTTGCCTCAAAATGTTGTTGCTCTTTTCCCTCACTTTAAAACAATAAGTATCTTTCTTTTTCAAAATTCATACTAGAGCAATCTTTTTCCAAACTCTCAAAGAGGACACTTCTCTAAACAACCAAATGAGACTGATAGACAGCTTGTGAATGTCTTTCAGCTGTGGAATGTATTAAAAATACTGCTGTGGTTGCACTGTAGCTTTAAATGCATTAATGGAAGTGTACAGTTCAGTGGCAGGCAGTCCTTCACATCCGCACGGTGGTTGACAAACACTTAAAATGTGAAGGGCCCCAAAGAAGTATTGTTGAAAAGGAAACACTCACATTTGCATGACTACCAGCACAAAGTTTCTATTGACAGTGTGTTCGCCCTCAGCAATCCCATATTTCTGCTAGCCATTTTCCTTCCTTTCTACTGGAGGCTGTCTTCACTGCAAATCACTAACCGGGTCCATCATTTTGCCTCAGGTGTCGGCCAGGCTTTCAGCTGTGCCAACACAAGGCATGATTTACATGTCATATCTTCAAAGCGTTTCCCTTTTGAAAATACATCTGTATTCTGGCGTTTCCCCTGCTGAAACAAAGCAAGGACTTTATATTTTAAGTCAAGAGTATTCTACATTGAATACACCATATTGACAGCTCGACAGGGCCCTGTACTAAATGTCTCTCTTTTTATGACATTGTAAATATCCTTCATGAGTTTTTAGTTTCACAACAATGCATCCACAACTGCATTGCACAAGGTTGCAAACACCAGGGTGCACATTTGCACAGCAGGTTGTCTGCAAGACCATGCCAACTTTGATCAGCTTGGACTTAAACCCATCATATGTTAGGCATTTGACTTTGTTATTGGATCAATGTGAAATATATAGTATGTGCTTGTTCACAGCTTTCTATATGCACTAACATGTAATGTGTTTATATAATGTCCTGCCGTTGAATGTTTTTTGCAGACAGTATGGCAAAGCTCAGCAATAGAAGAAAGTGCACTTTATCTAATTCTGTTTTCTTACCTCTACTCTGTCTTCTAACACCCCCCCCTTTCTTCCTGCGTTTTTCAGAGAATGATGAGACAGGTGTGATGGATAGTTTGCTGGAAGCCCTACAGTCAGGAGCTGCATTCAGAGACCGCAGGAAGAGAGCACCAAGACCCAGAGGTGAGTCTCATCTCCTCTGATCAAATGTATACACAAACAAAGATGCACATAGACATTCTCATATTGTCTGGAAAATAATTTGGACGATGTTTTGAGTCCATTCAGATAAATGCAGGTCCTAACCTTCCAACTGGATGCATATGTTTTGTTTTTTTAAATCTGAGTGAACTGAACAGTTTTTTTCCAAAATACACTAGTTTGTTGTTTGTACACTAGACCCTCCAGAAAAACGCGGGCTAAAATCCTTGATTACGCGGGCTAAAATCCTTGATTATGCGATTAAACATGCGGGGTTTTTATGCGAAATATGCGGAGAAGTTGCGAAAAGTTGCGAAATATGCGGGAGGCGGAAAAAAGGTGATTCTTCTCCCACACCCTGTTACTAGGCTACTACTGAATGAAAGGAAGCCCTTTTAAAGAGTTCCTATGATACACACACACACACACACACACACACACACACACACACACACACACACACACACCTCCGCCTCATTCTGTTTTCATTTACCCGTTCGTTATCTGACCAGCTTCAATCTTGTATGTTCCAACACACAGTTGCACGGGGTGCAGAATAGTTTCCCCCCACTTTCGTGCAAGACATCTGCGTACTGCTTTGCCCGGTCTTTAGCAGAAATGTTCGTAGGCAAATGGGATGGATTCGATTTGTTCATCTTGGTCAGAGCCGTATAATAGTATAATTATAATAGTATATAATAATAATAGTATAATAGTAGGCTATATAATAATCTATATGGCGCTGATCTTGTTGCTTTTCTCTCTCGTGTGAGTTCCACACATTCACTCTACGGTGTTGTTTACCTGCGCGAGCTGATGACATCACTACTTCACGTTAACTTTTTTTTTCTTCAATTTTGTGTGGAAAAATGCGGGGATTATGCGACCTTTTAAGAAATATGCGGCCTTTTAAAAATATGCGCTATTTTGCTGATTATGCGGTAAATTATGCGATCGCATAATCGCGTTTTTCTGGAGGGTCTAGTACACATGCTTGCTCTGAGCACAATGCTCAACGCTTTACACCATTACCTCGACTGTTTGATGATTGGATACCAGACAAATAAACACATGTTGTGAATTCAACATGAGATCTTTACTGTTTTGAATGGACTGCCCATTAAGCTATAGTTGCAATCGACAGCTGTTCCCTTGTTGTTAATAACCTTCTCTTCACAGCCATTCTTCAGCCTGTGCATCCTCCTGATCTTTTTGATCCTCTTAGTACTGTAAGATATGTTTGCATCATGTGTCCACTGCCCTCCACAGATAACCAGCAGAAGACAATCAGCCCCAGCTCCTTCCGCCAGGTTCTCAGGCCTGTTAACCATGGTAAAACACACAGTTGAAACCTACAAAGCTAAAGCCTCAAGCATGCTCAGCTCTGTCTTTTCATCTGCTCTTGGAAGCCAGTCCTTAACATATCTGGCATGTATTGCAAATTCCTCTCAACAGTTCGTATGTCTTGCTTTTTGTGTGTGTCCAGCGACCATTTCAGTTGTCCTTTTGGTGTTTATGATCTTGTGTGTGATCTTGTGTGTGCCTTCTGAAAGTGTGAAAGGCCATTACTAACACTGTTTGAGGCAGTGTGATGTGCAGACTGCGAGAAGCAGGGTTGATATTATTTGAAAGCAGTGTGTGGGCTGCTATGACAGCTCAGACATAAGTTTCCTCAAATTGTTCAGTAATTGCAGCTTTTTGAGTTCGACTTTATGCTTTTCAATGCAGCATGTGAATGTTCAAAGTGTTATATAAGTAAAGCGACTCATATCTCTATACACAACAGTATATGTCAAGAGTCCTAGAATTGTATAGAGAATAATAAATCATCTTTAACTGTTTAACTTTTGACCTATGCATTGCACATTCTTGAAGAGCAGTGAGACATGCGCACCTACACAAACTAAATTCTGTCAGATCTATTTGAGATGTTATCATTTAAAACAAAATTTGTAGTATAAAAATGTCATGGTGTGTGTAACTATACTATACCACCTCCTTGTGTAATGGTATACTAACCCTACCAAATTAAATTGTCCTATATTATTCATAGCTGTGATCAGATATGTTGCTCTTGCTGCGGCTTAAATAAACAACAACTTTCTTTTCTTGTCAAAGGTTTTCTACAACCATTACTGAGGCACTTAAAAATTACGTTGTAACCCTATTACCTCTTATTACTTGTAATTGGTATCCCTGTGGGCTGGGTACAGGCTACATGAATAAAATTATTCATGCTCAATCCACCCACATCATTGATGGCAATGATAAAGGGCCTTGCTCTGTTGTTCGGCTACGACTTATCTGAAATTAGATTGGAAAGGGACGAGGGGGAGGGAGATATACAGGGTGGGAGGAAAGAGACAGATAGAGGTGGCTGTAGCATAATAAATGGAGAGAAATGGTGTGAGGAAGAACAACAGAGCCACTTGGTGAGGGTGAAACTGAAGAATAGTGGGGCAGAATAACAAAAAATGGTCTTGCTGTGAAAGTGCTGTTTGTTTGTGTTTGAGAGGGAGAGTCAGGTAGTATAGAAGAGAACACGCACAAAGAGCTGCGTTGTATTTACAGGGGATTAGAGTAAAAATACATTTCAGTGAGTGAAAGTGCTTCAGTGTCCACTTTGTGAAAAAGAACCCATGGTGTGTTGTACTGGTAAGAAGGTCCTTCGAGGTGGCTGGCCCAGCTGCCCCCTGCTGGCCGCATCAGACACGGCCTTGTTGACTAATAAAGCTCGAGGCTTGAGCCTGTCACTGCAGGTATCATCCTCACTGCCAGCCTCCCAGAGCAAACACAGCTAATTACTTTTTCTCTGCCCAGCCCAAGCACCAGCTCAGCCCTCTCAGTGCCCATTCATCTTAATTTCCCCCTCTCTGCCATCTGCCTCCTAAATAACACTCCTCCTCATTTCCCTACTATGCCATATCCCCGCTGTCTTCTTCTATACTCTCATGGCCTGACAAAAGGCCTCCCAGAACATAATTGCCTGTTATTGGTAAGAAGTCTCTCCACTTCTCCTGCCGCACCCCTTCTCTCGGCGCTCCTTCTCTCCTACTGAGATCCAGACTTTAATTGCCCTGGGTTTAGTCGCTGGATTGAGTGAAACTCACAGGATGCTCCGTGTTTCGTCGGGAGGTGATGAAGTTTAGTTGGCGGCACAAGCACTTAAACAGATGCTCTCAGTTTCACACCACCCTACTTCCATCTTTTCCCACAGTTTTAAATACCCTTTAATAATTGATCTCAGGGGTGTTGCTGCACTCCAATGGAGCAGCAAAGAGAATTTAAACAGCAACATCTGTGCCAGAAGATACTCTAATAAGTAGTGATGGGGAGAGATTGGAATGGTCAGTCTGCTTGGTGCCATGAAGCTTTTCTACCAAGGGAAACTCAAGTGCACTCGGGCTTTCTTCCTTTTGTCGTCAGCAACAAATCACATGACCAATAGATTGTGCTCCCCATCACCAGACTTCAATGAGACTCGTGTACTAGATTATTGCTGTTGTGCTTCGACATTTATCATAAGTCTTATTTAATTATATATAATGTCACTGTAACTTTATTTTCTAAGAGTTTAAATTCACGCCTAGCTACTAAATGTTCTCAGACAGACAGAAGGGTGTCGCCTTGACCATTGTCAGGCAATTATCATATGGATCTTAGGTTTGTAATTAGCATGTATGCACGTTTCGCTCGTCTGGCCAACATTTCAATAGCCTGTAATGTAAATTGCCTAGCTGGGACCTCCCCAATTTGGTCTTTTTCCTGTATAAAGTGCTTGTTTTTCTGTTGTAGCAAGGTCAGATCTTGGTGCTATCTACTAGTGCAGGACCTCTGGCCTTTCAAGCTGGAAATAAGATTGATTCTATGAAATGCTATAACTCTTTATTAAATAACACAACTTTGGTTTAAGCTTGTATATTTGTTATTTTCTTACCAGAAGGTGATTAAGTGTGGAATGTCCACCACACTTCGTAGCCACGATGAGTGGAATTATTGGCATGTAATAGAAAATATGATTCAAATGATTCCTTATTGTTTGCTTCAGATTGTAGAATCATTTTTCATCATTTTGCTTCTCCTCTTCCTCCCTGCTCTCCTCCTGCTGGAGTCTTTGGTTTAAGTAGGGGATCATGCCTGGGCTTCTAGCATTCCCCCCCCCCCACTTCCTCTCTTGCTTCTTCTCCCTTACTCCTAAATTGGTTCAGCACACTTTAACATGAGCCAGCAGCTAAGGCGTTAGCTTGGTGTGCAGTCTCCCTGAGCACACATTCTCCCGTAGTCTTAAAAGTACACAGACACACCCGCAGACTTCAGGGGATGAAGGTAAGCGGGCTTTGTGGTGGCTGTGGCCCGGGTTAGGATAAGGCTGCAGGGCTCTGGGACTCCTCGGCACTCTAAATTGGATTGCACTCCACAGAATGATGGATCGATGGTGGTTAGCCACACAGGTGTAAGAGACTTGAATCTGCAAATTGAATCTATGAAGCAGCCATAGTTTTTTAACTGTGTCTGAAAACATCTCTCCAGGCACTGTCTGGCCAGTTCAGCCTTCGAAGCAAACCCTCATCTCAGCCTCACTGACTCCCAAGGTGCCGTGTGCAAGTACTTGTTGAAAGGAACATACCTTTTTTTTGTTACCGTTGTGTTTGAGCTAGAGCCTTCACGGGGGTCAGACAGCCCAAGCGAGATGTGCATTTTGAGGGTGTGAGCATGTTATGATGCCTTTTGTGTGATTCATAAGTGTTACGAAAAAACAAAATCTATGAAGGGTTCTATGTCTCTGTCTTTAGGAGCAGTTACTTCACATGTCTTTAGTGAAACCTAGCCTTACAATTATGTGTGATAACGCTCTGAACTCGAACTTGACATTGATGCAAAGGTCACTTCACACAGTCGGTGAACCCCTTTACCAAATTGAACAGGAGTTATTTTGCCTTACTTGCACTTGAAAGCATTACGGTGTTCACACTAAAAGCAAGCCTCTGGTTATTAGAGATGTTGTGTGCTATGTATTTGCAAACTTTATGACCCTTTTTGCTGAATGTATGTTTCTGTATATAATGTTGGATCCCTGGTTCATGCCAGGCAGCTATTCAGTGCATACTTTATATAACTTGGCTTCAGGTGTGAATGACAGTTGGAGATGAGTAATAGGCTTACTTTGAGACTTAACCCACACTGTCTTTCAAAGGTTGTGCGGCACAAAATCATTAAGAGGAAACTGGGGAGAGTGTGAAGTTGAAATGAAAGTCTAAAAAGAAAATACAGGAAGTTTGTTTCTTCCTACTTTAAGTGTGCTCACATTTGAGACATTTGTGAAAAACGAGCACGGACAATCGGTGTCTGTAGCTTCCTGGGGCCGGCGTACTCCAGTGGAATCTGCTTTTAGATGCTTGCCTTTTTGATGTGGCCTCTTATAGGCTGTGATATGTGGATTCCACTGCAGGCTACTGTATCCTGTGGATTGCATGTGTTGCTTTTTTATTCCTCTTCCACATTTCTGTCTCCTCATATCAATGTCAATTATGTCCTACAAAGTTCCTCAGTCTACTCTGTACTTTTTGACTTTGTTTTGTCTCCACTTTATCTCCTCCTTTGCCTTGCTGCTTTCCCCCAGACATGACATGGGCAGAAAAAGAAGGTGTCATTAAATCATCTCTGTGAGCCCAAGACAAAAACAAGGGCACAGACGCTCTACTCCCAAGATCTATTTGAATTGATGCGACACGTCATTGTTTCAAAAACGTGACTTTAGCAGTGGCTGATTTATCTGCTTTTGGTCATAATATATCATCCATGCAACACATACGGCCCATGCGCTTTTCATTAAAGTGACAGATTATTGCCAAAGAGCTCCTTTTCCTGAACACTGGAGTGCTCACTCTCCCCTTCCACACATAAACCCTCATGCATACATGCATAGGAATTGTCAGCTTAATCCCTGTGTTTTAATGATGTGCAGGCGAAAGGTTAAAGGCTACTGCTGGGTCGGGGCATTAGCTGTGTCTGCAGCTTGGACAGGTGTAGTGCTCTCTGTATTCATGTCCACAATCATCTGGCCACTCGGAGTCACAGTCTCGCTCTTACTGCCACACTTGATAGGTGGTTAATATGTTGAACTGTTCTTAGAAGAAGGGGTATCCAGATGGGAAAGTGTACCTTGACCTGCCTTTGTCTGTGTGTGTGTGTGTGTGTGTGTGTGTGTGTGTGTGTGTGTGTGTGTGTGTGTGTGTGTGTGTGTGTGTGTGTGTGTGTGTGTGTGTGTGTGTGTGTGTGTGTGTGTGTGTGTGTGTGTGTGTGTGTGTGTGTGTGTGTGTGTGTGTGTGTGT